GAATTAGACAGTACACATTAGTATGAACACCAAATAAACCAAAATAAAATCAGTCTTATGTCTGCATTAAAACAATTCAATAAATACCATGAGGGAAATGATGAATTGGCTTGACTGGACTCTAATGTGTTACTGATAATTACACATTTAATCAAATCAAACTGGCCTGCAGATCTGGTTTTTCCTCCACTGCTCTGTTCCCACAACACTTGCTCTGCTACAGAAAAAGAAGATCCCACCCCTTTCAAGGCTGAGCAGATCACAACTCCATTTTGGTACCTGGGAATGTTTCTGGCCACAGTGTTTGACATCCAAGTGTCCTGCTTAGATAACTTCCCCCATTGACAAGTTATTATCCTTACAAGTAAACCCACATCCAACCTGCACAAGAAGCATCAATAGCAAAGTGCACATATTCCTGCCTTTCACACGTTTGGGGTGGTGGGGGGATCATGAGCTAGAAGACCAGATCAAAACTCAGATGGCTGTGCTTCTTTGTTGTCAGTGTTTTTCTGCCACATGGTATTTGGGTTTTGTGGGCTTTTTTCTTCCCTCCCCCCACATCAGCTCCCACACAGCAGCACATCAGTTAAAAAAAAAAAAAAAAAGTACCAGGGGACTGCAGCAATGTGATAACCTGTTACCCAGGACGCAAGACCCAGGCCAATATAAAACAACAGGCTATGCAAACCCTTGTCACAGCTGACTCATTTAGTCCTCTACACTTTTAAAAAGTATGTTCACCTTAGATTTTCATTTCAAAGGTCCTGCTTCAGCAGAGGTAATGAGAAAGAAAGAAACCACATAGCAAATTAAGGCTTAATCATTATGCAATTCCCTTAGATAACATAATTGTCTCATCCTCAGTGCTTTGCAGTGTAATTAACCATACCTCTGAACCAAAGGTAAACCACGCTTCGTTTCAAGGTCACAAAACAAGCAGAAAGAGGCAAGAACAGAAGCAAGATGTCCCGACTTGTCACCTCTACTCAGTCCTCTGCTTCAGCCACTAGGTAGCACCCACTCTTCAAGCTGATGCAGAATCTAGAAAACCAAGTCAATACCAGCTGCTAACTAAAAAGCTATGAGAACAGAGGCTGGGAAAAGGGAGCCTTTCCACATTGATCATACAAAGGAACACAGCTTAAATCACTGTTTGATACGCATTAAGTCTGACAAATAGACTTGTATACAAAGTTATCTAGCTCTTTTTACACACCCTTTTAATAACTTAGAGCAACTATGGACTTAAAGATTCGAGCACCTCTTCCGAGCTCAGCTGTAACTTACTCTTCCTTGACAAGCCATTTATCATCCTAATGGCCCTGCCAAAACAAAAAATAAATTCTACAAGACATATCATTAAAGTATTTAGTAATCCGTACAAGACAGTGACATAATTCACTAGAACCAAAATACCCCAAAATGCTGCTGCTGTCTCTTCACAGTTACTGAAGTGCCTTAATGAAATTCTATTTGCCTGCAATGTGAAGATATGGATGGATTTACACATAACACAGAAATAGTCCATTTAATTAGCAGTTGAGAGGTTTAATGGCTAATATTAATTTCTGTTAAATACTAAGACATAACTCTCATCTGAAAGCTCTGAATTCAGTTAGTTGTTCGGGATTCATTTTACTTCAAAGGCTCAAAAGTGAATTTCAGATGTGACTGCACAGTGAAGAAGTCTGAGTTATCAGCAAATTCAGAATTGAGAAGACCTACAGAAATTGCTACAAGGTGGCCATCCCACATCCATCCCAGGCTGTAATAAGTACCCTCTGCTGCAGCCCCTGGGGACAGTGCAGTTCAGGAGGTGCAATTTGTTACTTACCCAAAGGCCTGATTACCATACTCCACAAAGCACCAAGATGGAGAGACTGTGCATTACCACCCCAGCTATTATCACCAGCTGGGCTGTTCCAACCCAGCTCAGTGCTCCTGCGAAGAGGTCACTTATATGTAACAGCAATTCCTCAAACAACACCACCCAGGAACGCACTCCAAAGCGAGCAACCAGCTACAAGCACTTGCAAGGTGCCGCCTATTAGGGTGGGAGAAGTAAAAACTATTCATTGTTTTTCAAAATGTCAGCATCAGAGAAGAAAGCAAGGGAAAGGTCTGGCATCCGAAACAACAGTCTGTCAGCCCAAGGACCCCCAGTTACAAACAAACTCTTTACTTCCTTCTTGGAATAAAGCCTGGCCAAATCTCTCCACTCCTCAGATGGGATCAGCAGGAGAGAAGCATCCCCAGTTTTGAGCTCTTACAAAGGCACTGAGCTCTTACAAAGGTACTGCTGCAGAGCAGGACTCATGCAGACCAGCCAGCAGGACTGGCTTTGCTTTTCATCTTCTATAAACTTCACTTTTTAAACATGCTGGGCACAAAAACCCTTCAATGTCTGTATTACCAGTCTCCTAATTCTTCTTCTGTGCAGTCCTGAGAACATGGTAAAAATAAACAGAGGCTTCCATCACCTACTGAAAAAGCAAAGGAAAAAGCACATGCATGGCAGCTAAAGCAAAGCTCATTTTACACTTTCTAGTCACTAATACACAAAATGCAAACCCCCTGGATTCCCTGATGAGAATACATGGTCTCCAGGGAGATCTTTCAGTACCTTCCAGTACCCCTGTAGTACCTGAAGGGGCTACAAGAGAGCTGGAGAGAGATTTTTACAAGGGCATAGAATGACAGGACTAGGAGTAATGGCTTCAATCTGATTGAGGGCTGGTTTAGATTAGATATAAGGAAGAAGTTGTTCCCTGTGAGGGTGGTGAGTCACTGGCATAGATTGCCCAGAGAAGCTGTGAAGGCCCCATCCCCAAAAGGGTTCAAAGCCAGGTTGGATGGGGCTCTGAGCAACATGGTCTAGTGGAATGTGTGTCTGCCCATGGCAGGGAGGTTGGGCCTCTATGAGCATTTGTGGTCCCTTCCAACCCAAATCATTCTGTGATTCCATAGTATTTCCTCAGTAAAAATAAAAATACCAACCTTCCTCCACATGCACAGAAAAAGATATTTTTTTACTTGCTTGTAGCTTATTGATTTTCAGTTGTTCAAGTGAATCTGTAAGATTTCACCTCTAACCGCCCTGCATGTGCTTTTATGTTACAGAGCAGTTTCAGGCAATAAAATGTCAAAATAAGATAAACAGGTAACTGTGACAAGTCTTCCTAAGGGTAGAAAAACATTAGCAGCACCTGCTGCATTTTCCATCTGCTCTGAAGTACCCAGGAGAAAAAAACCCAGAACTTTAATGCAGTCAATACTTTGTAAGATATGACTGGTCTTGATTGCTTTAGGAAAACCCAGGATGTGTAAATATAAATACACACACACATATACATTTCTATACAATGAGGAAAGTAGCATAAGATCTACTCTAGAATCCATAGGGCTTCAGGTCTAAGTATAGCTCTTTTCCTTCACCTGTCTATTCCTCTGTTTCAATGCTGGCCTGCAGGCAAGGGGTGAGCCCTGAGCAGGAGGGAAGGAGAGAAATTTCTGGTATAGGACATATCAGGAGAGAGTCTCATGTGGAAGCAATTGCCCTCAAGGTTTGCAGACAAGGGCTGCTTTCATACCAGCGTGGTTATGACTAACCCAAAGAGGGTTTAGCCTGTCTCACTGCCTACATCCTTCTCATTTCTCACACCCCCCAGGCTGGGCTGGGTGCACTGGGGCTCAGTGTCACCAGCTCCATCACAAACACAGCAGCTCTGCAGGGACAGGTACTGTGGGGCAGGGGTGGGCTGTGCAGCAGAACTGCCAGTGTAGAGCAACAACAGGGACAGGTTCTGCATTTCAAAAAAGCCCCTTGTTGTCACCTTAATTCCTGCACCACCATCAGCAGGTAAAAAAGCTTCCAGGATAGAGCACCTCTGCTTTTTCACAGGAGACATCTGCTTTCCAGAACATCTTTTGACTTCCCCACAAAAAGAGCACTGTGCCAAGGAAGCAAGCCTCACTCTCTCAGCACCCCCACTCTTGGGGCAGAACAGGCCCCTCCTACCTCAGCGAGGTATCTCTCATGGTTTAGTCTCACCAGTCCCCCTTGCAACTGGACATGGTCCTGGTTTCACTGGATGCTGGAGCCCTGTAATGCCCCCAGGGCCCCTCTGGCAGCCACAGCACAGCAACTTCAACCTTTTCTTGCCATACAATGCCCAGGAAAACACGTCCTCTCCCCAGGGGGATTTAAGCCCATGGAGGTGGGTGTGACACCCTTTGCTCAGGGGTAGCTCATCAGCCCATCAGCCCCATCCCAGGCCTGCCTGACCCAGCTGTGCTCGAGGCTCTCAAAAGCCAACACCAAACCAAAACAAAATGGTCCTTCATTTTATTTACAACTAAATCGCAGCTGGGGAGGGAAAGAGAAAGCAGACCAAAAAGGAAAATCTTGCTAAACTTTTATATTAACTACCAGTGCATGCGTGCATCTAATATTTTCAGAAGTATGCTCTGGTCTTCTCTAGGTTTCTTTAGTTGTCCTTACTGTATTTCCTGTTTCTCTGCTCATGTCACAGGGGATCCTGCAGCCAGACATTCGGCTTCGTGCCAGCTGTGTGTCCCTGTGTCATAAAAATCCCATTTTTTATATTAAGGGGTTCATTAACTTCATTGTCCTGGCCAGGTCCCAGTTTGAGTATGTACAATCCCTCCAAATATTCCTCTCTTACTTCAACCAGAAATGTCTATTTAAATTACTTCCTGCAAACTATTTTGGACTTTTTTCCATGCCTATTTTTTTTTTTTTGATTGCAAAACAGCTGTCACTTTTCACCCAGGAGATGGTTGTATTTTGATGTCACATTAGTATCTCTATCCTACACAGTTATCAAAACCAGTAGAAACCTACCTCCAGGCAAAGCAACCTGCTTACAGTTGAGGAAAAAATTTTGCATCTTATTTACAGGGAAATTCAAAAATTTTGCACACAGAAGGAGTACAATGTAGAAGGAAAAACATAACAGTTTATTAAACGTGCTGTGATAAAATATCTAGATACAAAATAAATTATGTGCTCCAACTGGACAGACTTATAAAATGGTTTGATGACTCAAGTCTATTTAAAAGGTAATCTAAGCAAGCTGTGACTGCACAGACATTGCAACTAATCTAAAAGACATTAAAGTTTCCCTGACCTCTTAGAAGCAATCAGTTGAGCTAAAAACCTTATCAGGAGACCATGCTTGGCAGAAAACATAGAAACATATTTCAGTTAATGGTTCAGACCCACCTTGGTTGCTCTGGAAACTGACCACGGACTCTAAATTCTATCTCTGCTGTACAGTGCATTACTTATAGTACATGAATAATGGATACTATAAACAAGCATTACAAAGTGAAAATTCAGTTAACAATATTATGGAGCTTCCCTTCACAACTGTAGTTCATGAGAGATACAAATTTTATGGTTCTTATCACCAGCAAAAAAAATTTGCATATCCCATCACAGAGTTCTTGCAAGAACCCATTCTGCATTTCTTATCTCAGGGTTTTTATGCTAAGAAATACTGCATTAGGTCCAGTAATTTACATTTTTCCAATAAAATTCTAAACACATATGCAGTAGCTCTTTATTGAGTGACTTCATGTTATAAATTATAAGCTTGGAAGGAAATACATTAGGACAAATATTGACTTCCAAATAGTCACCATGAGTGAGATTTTATCCTGGTATTGAATTATCACACCTCTTGCCTTTTATAGCTCTATCTTATCTCCCAGTTACTATTACTTTGTGGCAAGTAAGTAAATAAATAACACTGCCTCACTTCTGACAGTTTGATTCATTCGGTTCCATGCGGCAGAAACAGCAGGTACAAGTCTGTGCAAGGGTTTTCTAGCAGCTCTGCTCAGACAGACATTTTGGCATCTGCAACTATAATTAACAGTGCTTTCAGTGTGTCCCATCACTGCAGGCTTTACTGTGGAAGCAGCAGGTGAAGTCCAGTGCCTGTTGGAAAAGATTAGCAAAAAAAGTAGCAGTACTGCTCTGGGATGTCACTGAATGAACACTGCCTGTTCATTCAACACATCTGCTCCATGGTTTTTCAGCAACTCTTTAGTGGATAATCTCAGCCTTTACTACCTTAACACCACAGTTACATGTGACATCTGGTTAGGAAACAGGAGCTCTGGTTGCAGTTACAACTGGATGACTCCATACTCCCATCTCCCCCGCTTCAGAAGCAGCGCTGAGACTCCCCAAAAACCAGCTCAAGTCAGCATGGAAATATAATTGGTGCAGCCTATGGACAGAACCTGTTGGCTAAAGAACTGCAGGAATACAGCAAAATCTGCCCAAAAACAGAGGTGGGGAAAGAACACAGGTAGAACATCTTGGATACAGCAGTCTTCATGCTCACAAAGCTCCTGAATGGAGAAAGTGCGTGTCAGCCCTCACTGTGCCTCCAGCCCAGGGTGACTCTCTGTCTCCACCCCTTGCCTACAACCCAATGCCACCTTGTGCCCCGACTTGTGACCACCCTGGCTCTCACACCCTCCTGTTCACAGCTTGGCCGTGCTTTCCTTCCCAGGAAAGGGCAAGGAAATGGCTGTGACAAACTCTGCTTCCACAGCACCCGGTGGATACACATGGGCACAAGAAAGGCAAAGGGCCTTGGAGGGACACACAGCGAGGAGACCAACAGCAGCACAGAGAAAGTTTCTTCCCTGATGAGGAAGGCCAGGGTGCAGCAGGCAGCTGGCTCACAGCAGGTGGAAGAAAACACGTGAATCCAAGGATGTGTCTCAGACGTTCTGGGTCATTCACTTCCAGGTCTAAGCTGGACAGCTGAGTTATATCTGAACTCATTTGTCAATTCAATCTGCTTTGTGGGAGTCAACAAAACCCAAGCTGTTGTTCCAAATATTTATTAAAAAATAACTGCAAGTGGAAAAGAAATATCAATAAGCAGTCCAATGGCAGATTTATTACAGTTTTAACAAGTAAAGGGAATGAATCTACTTTATGAACAAAAATAGCAATAGGAAAGTATACTGAACAATTCTTAATTAAACAATAAAATGGAAACAGCATATGCAATACACATTTATATATAAATATATTGGTTACATTCTTCTTAAATAGATTAAACAACATTCATTAGCAATATCCAAAAATATTTCTTCATGGCAAGAGAATCATCTTCTTTCACAGCACTACTGACTCTCCACAAGTTTCCACTACAACAATCTTAGACTTTGGGGCTAGAATAGGTATTCAACACCACCAGGTCAAATCTAGAGCAAGTGATTTGAAATCACTTTATGTGAGATCTCAGAGAGAGTTAAGGCCAGGTATGCAGCAGGTGGAATTGTCAGAGCATGATTTAAGCGGTGGGATCCCCTTGAAATCTCAAATTTGGATTAAAGCTAGATTCCCACAGGTAAACTGTGACACTGCTCAGGATTCCCTGTTATAACACACTTCCCTTTTTCTGTAAACAACTATTAACAAAAATAAATTCTCTGTACCCTGTTAACCACTTCTTAACATAAAAATAAGGAGCTGCTTGGGTAGTTTTTAAATAAGTCAATATAAAACTCTATCCTATCCTAAGTGCTGCCTCTATCAAAGTGCTAGCAAATGGCACAGTGTTCGAGGCCATGTTCCCTGCTTTTCATGGTTCATATTGCAAACCTCAGCTCCAGCAAGACTGAGCTCAGGACTCCAACCATGGTGGCTGCATCAGCCCGGCTCTGGGCACCTTCACTGGGCCACCCAGAGCCCTTCTGAACAGGTCATGCCAGGGCTCTTTGTCCTGTCAGATGGACAGTGCCCATCACAGACTCATCCCCACCCTGCAGTGGTAGCAGGGCCTGGACGTTCAGGGAGCTGCTCAGATCCACCCCAGCACAGCAGGGACTGAGCCTGTGCCCTGTGGAGACCTGGGCAGGAGTTGGGCTCAGACCCAACAGCAGAAGATGAGCAGATTCCACTACCATTTTGCATAGTTTGGTTCAGTGACTCTCTGTGAGTCCTGGAGAGATGACCTACCACCCTTCTGCTGCTCCCCTTCCTACCAGGTGTAGCAGGGACTCTCACAGCTTGCCTGTTTGGGACCTCTTTGGACTTGGTTTGGTTCAAATACTTGCTGGCTGTTACTTCGGAGCCTGAATAAGAAATAGTGCAAATACAAGCTTAAATAAAAAAAAAAAAAACAAACCACATTGCCTTCACTGAACATTCAGTTAAAAAGACAAGGATCCGTAAAGATGAAACCCCAGTTTTAGGGTATCTGAGATATTTGGCAAACATGCACAAGATTCTTCATGATTGTCTTAAAGGAGTAGGTTTCCCTTGGCGCTAGATGCCTCAAATTATTTGCTAATGTGAGTCTAACTAACACTGTCGTGGCTAATCGCAAATGACTTTGAAGACTAGTCATGGAACACAGGACATCTCCCTGGCGAAACGGGACAAACACTCCCTGCAGTTATGGATTCCTCAGTGCTTTTCTTATCCTAGTTTAACTCCAAATGATTTTGCTTGCATGGAATGGTGTGAATTCACCCAGGGTGGTTTTTCTGGAAGGCGAACAGACCACGATTTTTTCTGAGGGTCAAAATACCTTTATTTGGCCATGCTCAGGCATATTAAGAGGCCAAAACAGAACTCTGTTTGATTCCTATTATGGGAGGCTGGCTGCAGTGCATTTTAAAACAACAATCATCTGAAGTGGCTGAGATGTTCAAGTTTGAAACTTCATAAAGCGCCAGGGCACTCTACAAATGCAGGGACCCCCCCGGTACTGCAGAGACCCCACATGGCAGCAGGCACACTGCAGAACTCATGCAGAGTTTCTTGGCCCACTTAATGAAGGGGCTTAACTTCTCTCAACTCCTCTTCCCCCCCAAAAATCAGCAGAACAAACATTCAGCAGCAAGTTGCTTTAAGCAAGCAACGCACAAATGGCTCGCTATCTTCACTATGGATTAGGCACACAGCCCGGCCAGGGGTTTGGGAAATCCTACGTGCCTCCATCTCCAGGTGCCTACATGATACTGCAAAATCTCAGTGTTTCAGGGTTCAGCCCTGGGAACTAGTCCTGCTTTGACTAGAACCAAAGAGAAAAGACCACTGTCTTCAACCAGGGGCAGGGCTGCCTGCTGTCCTCGCCGGGGGCTCAGACCTGCTCCTCTCCCCACTGTGCCACTCGGTGCACCTGCACTAAGTCAGGTGTGCTAGCCTGAAGGCAGAGTTACACCAGGGGGAGTTTTACCTCTTGATTTTCTGGGACAGTTTCAAAGCAAGATCCACATATTTAAAAGCATAAAGAGATGAATTCACAATGAAACTAAGAAAACAAAGAAGTCATCATATTTACAGAGAGCTGCCATCACACACACTCCATTAAAGAAATAGCTTTATCTTTGCCCATGTGCTTGTTACTAATGTGATAGTGGACTCCCCAGCACTTCAGGACATTGTTTCCAATCATACAGATAGCACACTTCAGGCTTTAACAGAATTGATGCATAATTATGCTTAAGTAGCTTTTGTCTCCCAGCTCCATGCGTTAATTACAGTTTTATACATGAATAAAATTTAAAAAAAAAGTCCACTTTTTCTCCCCACAGCAAATTCATGTTCTGTGGTGGGCAAAAGCAGGGATTTTTGGAACACTGCCTTCCCCTTCTCCCTTTTCCTCCAAGTGTAAATGGTACTGGAACCTAAAAGCCAGCATCTGCATTACACAGATGGGACTCTGCTATGTTCTTTTTTTTTTTTTTTTTATGATGTTCATGTAGCAGTGACTTGTAAGAGACATTTGGAATGAATGCTGGCCATGACAGGATACTGCCTAAATTAGAATCAGGCTCCAAATATCTTCCTGCAATTAGATTATGTTATACGTTATATTCTTACTCATGGCCTGGGAAGGAGAGTGCAAGGGTACTTAATATTTGTAGATATTCAATTAAAATGAGTGCATCAGACACTCACTGGTCTGGATTCTGCCTGCCTCACATCTAGTCCAGGCTTGCTTCTAAATCTTAAGAGGAAAGAAAAAGGGAAATGAACGCACACACAGTGGAAGTCACCAGGCCCATACGTACGCCTGCTGGCTAATACAGCCTTTACCTAACTAAAAGGTAAAAAGCCATGCAGTTTAAACTTCATTTTATATAGTATGGGTTAAGTTAATGCTAGAAAAATAGAATTCAGAGGGAGGGGAGAAAGGTTTATGTGTAATAAATGGCAATTTTGCTGTCTCCTGAAGGTTGCATTTCAAGCATAACTGCATTTCTCCATGCACTCTGAACGCTTCCCTTTTGGGGTATTGGCATGCTTGTGGCAAAAGCAACCAAACCTATTAATGAGGCACACAGTGAAAGACGGTACATGAAAAAAAATCAGTCCTTTCCATTCTGACATTCCTCACTCGAAGCCTTGATGCTGCAGCAGGAAGCTAAGCATGAAAGGTAGCAGACTCCTTCCTTGCATGAGGGGCCAGGCAACACCAGCTGTGCAATGCACACAGCTAGAAAGGCTCTTATATACTATATATACAATTGTAATCCAGAATAAATAGTATGTCCTGACTCATAAGTGTATTTCAGCGTGGTTGTTGTTGGTTGTTATGGCTGGAGAATGCTTGCTTTTCATCCCTTCTGTCCCGCCCTTGGACACGTCGATGAACAGCAACCTGGGAGTCCACAGTGTCAGCAATATCCTTTTGTACTCCTTCCTAAAATTCTGGTTAAGAAGCCCATAGATCACAGCATTGAGGCAGCTGTTGAAATAGGCCATAAAATAGCTCAGGACAAAAAGCCATTCTGGAATGTGTGGCTGCACTTTTGAAGGATTAATGGAAACAGCAAGGCCAATAAAGTTTAATGGTCCCCAGCACACAGCAAAAAGGACAAAAACCACAAACATAGTCAAGAAGTTCCGGATGTCAGCTGCTCTGAGCTTCTGCTTGCAGTCTTGTCTCACCCGGTGTTTGACCTGAATCACTAAAATCCAGATCCGTAGGTAGCAAAACGTCACGACGGACAGCGGGACGATGAAGTGAACAACCACCACTGTGATGGTGTAGGACGTACTCACCGTTTGGGCAAAGGTGCAGGAGTAAATCCGGGGGTCATACTGCAAGGAACCAACAAAGAAGTTTGGCACAATGGCCACCACCGTGAGTATCCAGGTCAGGCAGAGATAACAGCAGGTGTTCTTCAGGTTGAAGAGCTTGTCGTACCGAAGGCTGTGGCAGATGTAGCAATAGCGGTTGATTGCGATCGCCGTGATGTTGAAAATGGACCCAATGACACTTAAGCCCATCAGGAACCCGCTTATCTGGCAGTGGACATTTCCCATGGTCCATCCATTATGGAAGATGGCACTCAAGATCAGAGGGTATGGATAAACTGCAACCACAAGGTCTGCGACGGACAAACTGACGACGAAGATGTTGCCTACAGAAAAGAAAAAGAGACCACGAGAGGTTAATGTACGTCCAGATAGACAACTTGCAACTCAGAACTCCTCTTTAGGCCTAACTCTTCTCATGGGCTTCACTCTAGTCTCCTTTTGGAACTTGAAACCCTAGGGCAGCACACTAGAAAAAGTAGTGGTTTACCAAACTCTGCTACTTTGAGGTGTATCTGCGGTGGTGTAAAGGAAAACATTACTAGATAGTAGATCTATATAAATGTATATAGAGAGAGTGTATATATACAGTAGAGGCTATGTGTAACACATTTAAGGTGTTAACACCTCTGCCCTTATGTGATACAGGCAACATCCCAGCCAACTGTTCACACCTGCACTTCCTCTTCAAACCCTCCTATCCTGCTGTCTACTAAAGTACACATATTTTTTAAAAAAATCACTAAAAAGAGGTATTTTTCTGTAGTATCCATGAAAGGACTCTCAAATCTCAGTTCAGCCAGGTCAGTGGCTTTAGCACTTGGAAAACACACCTAAGGGCTGTTGGAAAGCATGGTCGCATTGCCATTGCAGTTGGCTCATTGCTATGTTTGTGCCAACAAAAACCATCAGGACAAGTCAACGGTTCATATCAGGCCACTGCATGCTGACCGGAAAACAGTCCAGACTTGAGAACAGCCCCTGGCACTGTGGAGCTGAGGCAGCTGACACAGTGTCACTTAAAAATAAGTATTAGTGGAGGTCATGTGGAGTGCTGAAATCTTTTCAGAGAGAAATTTTACATAGAGAGGTTTACCAGAGCACACAGCTTCTTTGGCTGCCGGGCCTCGGTGCTGCTTTCTTGCTGATTTAATAACTTACTGAGAGCTCTATAAAATGCGGTCACCAAAGCTGGTCCCTATGTAAATAACTCCATTTGTGCCGCTGGTTCTAACCTGTGATGGTGCAGGCACCACAGAGATGGAACGCTCTTCTGAACCAATTTTATTCATTCTATCAAAAATATGCACTTCAACAAAATGCGTCCCCAGCACCAGGATTTCATTTTGGAAAGCTTTTCCAAAACCATTTTCAAGGCAGAAAAACAGAGAGGTATCAGCAACCCAATTTAGGAGACTTCCAGAGGATGCCTGGAGACAGACTCAACTGATAGGACCACAACTCTTCACTTGGATACACGTTTAAATACACACACAGCTGGAGAGCAAGTCTCTGCCTTTGCTGGGGATGAGAGTCACATTCAGCACCCAGTTCTGAATCAGGCAAAACAGAACAAAGCTGAGTATTTCCTAGTTAAGACAGCACATCAGTGGATTTAATCCAAAGCTTAGTAAAATCATAGGGAAAATTATTAGTCTCACATCACTGCCAGCTGCTGGGATAAATAAGCAGTCTCCACCAGTCTTTCTTCACTAACTTGAATAGTTGTATGGAAGCAAAAAATATAAAGGAAAAAAATCTATAAAAATAATATTCACACGATGCTCTTCACAGTTTGGATTCAATCCAAGGGCACAGTATTATGTGTACTATTTTGACACGACTTCATTGCATGTTGCTCCAGCGGGGAGAAAATGAGATGGTTTTATCAAGAGAAGAATAATCTCCTCCACGTGGGGAGCAAACTTGCCCTCCTCTGCCCCAAGCTTTCACCTTGCAGCCTCAGCTCCCCTGTCAGCTGGCACATCTATAGGCCCCATAAACCTCATGGGCCACAAAAGCCCCTTAATCTTAAGACATTTAATCTTAATTAAAAAATAATGAAATAATAATAATTAAAAATAATTAAAATTCTAATAAAATCTTAACAAAAGATTTCAGTTTTCTAATGGTGCTCGTCTGTGACCGGTCCACTGGGAGAAAGACGGGACCTGGCCTGCACCCCATGTCCCCAGGGGCTGGCTTTGCCCACAACAAAGGGCTTGGAGTGCCTGGTGGGAAAGCTGTTGCCATGGGCATCCTTCACAGCAACCCTGTCAAATACCCCTGGAGTGTCCCTCCTGCTTGGGGATCAGCCCAGTATGGCCAAGGTGGCACCACCGGCCACCATGCACAGGTTCCCAGGCCATGCACTGATGTTCTGTGCTATTGGTTAATTATTAAAATAGGAGTAACTTGGGTTAAACATTGCTTCAGCCTCACAATCCCTGGTTTGCTGTGAGACCACTGTGTGCCGAGCTCTGTGGCAAATAGCTCATGTCTTTCCCTCTGGAGGATGAGATGAGACCCTCATTCCCAAGGACACTGCAGAATATTAAGCCATCTAATGTGTCTTTTAGGGAAGGTAAAGACCAGTATCCTACTGGATACATGATCTTCATCACTGCTTTTTTTACATTTTTCCATGATAAAACAAAAGAGTCTTGCCCATAAATAATACCATCAGGACTCTATCTCCAACTTAAATTTATCTGCTTCTGTGACACTATTTTCAGATGTATCATTTTATCTTTATTGGCATGTGACTGTATTTCCTTATTAGCTTTCACATTTTCCGTTCCTTTTTTAACTTCTACTTAGTATAAACTGGTTTGTGTGCCACTGTGCTCCATCCCCCAGTTATGGAGTAACACATAAATAGGGAGGAATGGTGGAGAAAAGCATGTCTAACACATGGATACTGGTAATACAGACTTGGCTACATTTTCAGAGAAACTATAAATCCTTTTATATTACAGAAGTCCAACTCAAAGCTTAGATTATAGAGGTACAATACACTGTTCACAGTGTAATCCACAATTGTTTGGGAAAAAAACCCCACCCCAAAACAACCTGAAGCCTAGCTGCTTGAGCAGATTATAGACATGTGCAAATAATACAAGTGGGAATTTATCCCAGAACATCTTCTACCCTAGTATTCCTGTCTTTGAGCTCCCCCTCTCCCTCCCATAAATCTATTTCTGTTCATTCTAACTCTGCTCCTGTACTCCAGCAGTTCCCTGGCGCTGCCTCTCATTTTGCCTGGATTATCCAATGACACAGTTTATATGAGGACTTATTGTCAAGCCCTGGTTCTAAGAAATGTGGAAATACCTCAATGAATTCTGCAAATCAATAAACCACATACGTAAAGCTCTTCACTGGCAGGCTGCCCCAACAGCACCTGACTTTCATTCTGTGGTACTGTTCCACAGAGATTAACTGAGCACCGCTGTAGAAACAGCAGGGTCACTGGCCCTGCCTGCCTCAAGAGGCTGTTGGAAATCCCCTGGTGCTCAAATTCCAGTCCTAGAGATCCAGCCTCTCCCTACTGTTCCCACACAGCAGCTGTGGGCTGTCCTTTACAGGCTGTGGTTTAGGTATCCTGAACCTATAGGAGAGGGTAAAAGGCAAGGAGAGAGGAGGGAGGTAAAATATTTTTATGAAAATTGTCTCTTTTTCTACATCTCAAAATGTCCAAAGCAAGCACCCAAACCTCTTGTTTCTCTGTTATCCATATAAAGCTCTCTCACATTCACATTCTTTGCTGAAGTATTACACAGCTACAGAACTGCTTCCTTCAGGTGAACAAGACAGAGATGCTCAATGCAACCTGAAGTCAGTACTGTTATTTTGTAAAGCCAATGCTGAAACTGAATTGTCCTGAATGACAGTATTTGCACCAGAAATACAGTTGTGTGGATCAACTTCTGCTCAGCTGGCACAGTCCAGCTCCAACTGAACCTGCTGTCCAGGCTGCCCCTTCCTCCCAGCCACTGTGCAGGGATTTGAGTCCAAATAGACAGTGCCCAGCACGGCATTTTGAGGCAAACAAAACCACATACAACAGCCTCAAAGGTGGCAAGTGAGAAGCTGACCCATGAGCACAATGGACATGAGTGCCAGGGGGCTCACTGCATGACCAGTCACCTTGCTGCTCCAACCTCTTCCCAGCAGTGACATCAGACCCTGGCATCTGTCCAGCTGCTGCCAGAATAACTGACAGCTGTAGAAAAGCAGGTCTAAAAACCTACATTGAGGAAAAGGTGCTAAGATACACAATGACATAATGCTAAAAGTTTATTGGTGTGACTGGTATGTTTGCAGTGACTTTTTACTATCATAATGATAAGCCACAGCTTACAATAAATAGAATCTTAAACTTTATGTTTGTTCATTCAGGTTTTATGAAAAAGTCAACAGACGCATGTGTCCCAGATAAACTGGAAGTAAGACACACGTCAACCTCACAGAGATATATACATAATGAGGTTCAGTAAACAATTTAACAGGCAATGACTGTAAAGCAAGCCTCTGATGACCACTTATCATAATCTAATATTCTCTGTTTAACCCTCCAAAGCTTATGCTCACTGCAAAGCAGAAACAAAATGTACTGTTTGCCCCAAGCGAAAAGATAAAAGTCATAAAGAGCTTTATTCAGCATGCAACAAGACTCTTTATTACCTCTGATAGCCTCCTTTTCCTGTTTGTTTTTACCTGCCACTTTGCTGTGTGATTGCTTGTGTGTCACTAACCTCCAGCCTACAGATCTGAAGTGTGTTCTGCAAACTAAGTGGCAGTTCATAGAAAACACTTTCCGATCAATTTTCTTCCTTTTATAACATAAAGATACCATTGACCACGTGCAATCATATTGATCGTGTACTGCTGCAATTTAAACGGGTAACAATGCCCTGGTGTTGGGGGATGCTGATCCTGCAGCCCTTGCTCTGACAAGCATTTCTTATATCACCAACTCTAAAGGGTCATTTCTGGGGTAGACAGTATTTACCCCACCAAAGCACATTAAGAACCATCCTTCTGTTGGGGACCATGACCTATGGCACTGCTCCATGCAAGCTCCCGGATTCCAGGGCACTGTGAACACCACACACAATGGCACAGGAGGAATCCCAGACTGTTAACTGCCATCTCTTTCCACCGTTCTGATAAGCACTAATACATCTGACATGCCCACATGACAGCCCAGCATGTACTTACTCATTTTGACAACTGAAAATGTTTGACAGGGGAGCGCAAGTGAAAACTGGAGAAACTCTCCCTGAGATACAGGCAATAGGGGGGAAAAAAAATATTTGTTGTTCAATTCATTAATCCATAAATTTTAATTGAGGATTTTATTTGTGTATTTAGGGAGTCTTTTCAAAGAGAGGAATAAACAAAAGAAAGGAAAAGGCATTCAATTAATTATCTGTTATCATTACTCCATTAGGATTCAGAGGGGGATAAAGCGTGGTTTCCTGTAGTTAAACAGACAGTGCAGTTGGGTTGCCAGCTGCTCTCAAATCCTGACAGTGCTGCATAAAATGATACAGAGGGTAATAACACAAAGGACAGGAGGTATTGCCAACCCATAGTATCCTTAGGACATAAGGTTAGAGAACACAGAAATATCCAATTTAAGGACATCATCAAGGTCCTAAAAAATGCGTAAAACTCCAGAATAATTTAACTTTTTCCTGAAAATAGTCCTTTGAGATCTCTTGGCACAACCGTGAAGACAAAGAACAGCAGCATGTGCTGGGCTACCATTACCTTGTTTGTTGGCATCATTCCCCATGGGAAAACTGTGGGCACTTAGAGCTGCTCCCTGCCTTGTGCCAGCCCTGTAGATGCACAGGAGCAAGGCCAAAGCAGTGCAGGAGGCAGTCTGCAGAAGGAACTCTCCTCCTCCTCCTCCTCTGTCTTCCTTGACCAGGCGCTTTGGCATCGTTTTGGAGCCACGACCATCAGTTACATGAGCCTTCTCATCAGTACCTCGCTCCAGTTGTGAAAGCTGCCTTTCCCTCTGGACCTGTGAGAGAGACTTGCTTCCAGGAGGAGGAGAAAAACCTCCCAGTATTTACCAGAGAAGAAAGGACCAGCCCTCCCCCCTGTTTCAATTACATTTATTTTGTTATGCACCATATATTCTTTTGGCTGATGGCTAAAGAATTGCTTACATTGCCAGGTGAAGGACTGGATTACTGGATTTTACACTTACTGTAGGTCATGACCTTTTAATTGTATTGCTGCCAAAACCATATTTGAGCCATGCCTTCAGCTGCTCTGATTGAATGCAGCGAAGGGCACGAGTTGCCAGTGCTCACACCCCAGAGATTCATAACTTTCCTCTGGCTAAGGCCAATGAGATTCACAGTCCTGGCTGAGCTCAGAGGTCTGTGGAAATGGGTTGGAAATTAGAGACCAGCCCTGTTCACATGATTTCATATCTTTCCTTATATCAGTTACCCTTACAGTGAAAACAATGTAAAGGGGAGGATTTTTCTCTGGCTGTGACGCAGATGGTAGCTGGACATTCACTCTTGAATGAATAAAAAGTATTTTAATTACATCTTCTTCTGAACCCTTAAAAAGTGGTCAGCCCTCTTCTGTACCAGTGCAGAGCGACTTCCCCATTTTCAGAGTTCCAGATATTTTATAAACAAAAAGAAGTTCTTAGACCATCCCAGAGAAACACTGTTTGGCAAGTTTCCCCATTATTCCTCATTAATCCTAACATGTCCTGCTCAGCTTAGGCAAACCTTCCCGAAAAGATGATCTGAACACAGTATAAAGAAAGGGGAAACAATGTAAAGTTGACATTTTACCTACCTCCAAAAATTTTCAAATTTCTAAAAATACTGTTTTCTGTTCAGTTAAGTGCCTTTTAATGACTTCTTCCTGTGTTTTCCTGGAAATTCTGACCCTTTTCATGAGGGAAAACCACAATGCTGCAATTCTTCTGGATTTCTAAACTTAGCTCTTGTTAGTGTGATGTTTTTCCTGGATGCAACTATGACCACTGAATCTGCTAGTAATGGAGGAGGAATAAGTGGTGGTCTTGATCCAGCTCTTAATAAATACAAAAAAAGTGTTAAAAAGTGCCCCTTCTGGTTATGTGCTCCAGACTCCTGACATTTCACTGTTTTATCCACCGAACTCATCGCCTGCACTAAAGCTGTGAGATAGAGAGCCAATCCACTTAAAATCTTGGTTCTTCCCTGTATCAATTCCAAATTCTTGGACTAAAGGTGGGCCTGGAAACACCTCCTGCCTTCACAGCAAATCGCAGCAAGGCTGATGGAGAGCAAGTGTCGGAGGCAGGAGGCCCTTGGGACAACCCTCCAATTTGCACCGAGCAAGAGGAAGCATCAGCACCTCTGTCAGCACCAGCTGAGCCTGCATGGCACTGGCTGCAGTGTCTGACTCTGCAAGGACACCATGGCTGATGGACACCTACTCACTACAGCAGCTTCTCTTGGGAGATAGTGGTCTCTGGGAAGAGTCTAAACAAAACCCCATGCAGCCAAAGGAGAGTGAGTCCAGGTACCTAAACTCGCACTTGACACCTCAGATACCAGTGCCACCCTCTGAATTCCAGCTGTCTCCTTCTGCCTGAAATCCCTGCTGAGTGGCTCTATGTGATTTTAAGAAGTCACCTAATTCACATCCAGGCTGTGTAGGGAGTGCAGGCCAATGCCCCTATGTTTACCCTCCCATACTGGCCACATGGGCACAGGGGCAAGCTTTACCAGCCCACGTTAATTCCAAGCCCATTATTTCTCACCTGGTTTGTAAAGTGCCCTGAAAGAGGAAAGGCCCTGTATAAACACAAAACATTATTATTGCCAGCATCCATTGAAATGACAAACCAACATCCATCCTCTCCAGGTCCCAGCAGCTGTACTGCCACCATTTGCCATCTGTTACTATTCTAGAAAAAAATCTGTGAACTCAGGCTTAATAGACTTAATAATGCTCTTTTGCAACTGTTGCTGGTCAAAGTGTGTTCCTGGCCTGGAAAGGGGTTGTGTGCAAGCAACCGATTCCTAGGCAGCTGTCAGGCAGAGCATACAGTCGGATGTGAACACACAGCTGATTTTATTGATAAAAATCTTGTCTGACTGCCCTGGAGAGCCCTGCTGAGCCACCACAGCTGAGCCCAGGAGCTGCTCCTTCTCCTCCCTGTGCCTCACCAGCATGGTTTGTTGACTAAACCTTGGTGACGGCACCAGCCACTACACCCACGGACATGCACTCAAAAGGAGCAGATGTTACCCTGCCACAATTAACAGCTTGACATCCCAGCCTTGCCATCCCAGGGATCAGTCTCTCTAAGTCCCAGCCTTTTCTGCTTAGTTGGTGGGAACAGGAGGTGGGTTTTTTCTTTGTAACTCTTTTTAGTTGTATATAGAAATGATGAACCTACTAAAAAAAAAAAGTTACCAGACAAAAATGTTTCTATCAGTGAAGGCCATTTAGCCTTTAATTCATTCTCGACCAAATCTTGTTCAAGTCTGTTAGAGGCAACACCTTTGCAGACTGTGGCAAGTCTGTTGATTAAGCCTTAGGATGGACTGAAGGAATTGTGTGAGGTGAGGACTGTCCAAGGCAAAGAGGGGGAGACTCCAGGCAGCCGGCTTTCCCAGGAGGTGTTAAAGGCCGTTTTATGAGGGTTGTTTGTGTACACACACAGGTTCACCCTGGGGCTGCATTAGGTTCCATGATACCAAACTCAGATGCCATTTTCAAGGTAGACCTTAATAACCTTTTCAAAAATTCAGACTTGAAACAAAGTAGCATTGTACAGAACCCAACTTCAGAGGAGAGCAAGTCGAGCTTAGTGCATAAGGAAAAAGCTCAGTCTGGACACAGACCAGCACAACACAGTGTGCTGCCCCGAATCCAGCCTCTAACAGACTGATCTAACTGACCTCTAACACGTACTGATCCTGGCATCAGTTATCTCCTCTAGCACTCTGTCCAACAAGAGCAAGAGACTAACATACAAAGTCACTTGCTGTACAAAGATAGAGGTAATTTTTAGACCAAAAAGGTAATCAAAATATGAAATAACTAAGCCTAAATCAATAATTAGAGGAATAGTAACAGAAGAGCTTGAGCTAAGAACAGAGTTACTCTGGGTACAGATACTAAGACAGAGCAGCTGTGCTCTGAGCATCCTCACCTTGGGGAGGCAGAGATGGGCTCACATGCCAGAGAAGGTGATCTGCTTTCCCCACTCTGGGTTGTTCTGGAGGCTGTTTCCCTGCCTAGCTGATCTTGCCTCCTCAGGAACTTAATGAATTTCAGTTCTCCATTGCCAAGACAGATTAGTCCATGCCATACAGATTATTTGGCTGAAACTCTTTTCTCATCTGTTCTGAAAAGGGTAAACAAATGCCATTCCTTGAACCAGAATCTGATCTGACATAGGTAGGGCCAGTCTGAAACGAATGCAGCACAAGTGGGCTTGTCAATCTGCTACCCCTGCAAGCTGTCTAGAAAGACATGAAATTTAAGTTGTACCAGTCTGGACTTTTCTTAAGAGTATTACAGGGTAAATATTAGGTTTATTAATGAAGAAAAGCTGTCTTGAAAGCAGGTGTCAGAGAAAGGGGAATGCAGGGATGTAAGGAAGAGAGCCATCATGCAGAGAGCTGTGGGATGCACAACCTACAGCAGGAGCTGCCTTGCTCATAGCCAAATGAACACTGCAGTGTGCCCTGACAGAGCTACCTTTCATGTGCCTTAGCAGTCCTTTTTTGTACAGCTTAGATTTGCCTTAAATCTGTCCTCAATGTAACGGCACAGCATCCTTTTCCTCTTGCTATAAACAATGTGTTGAGTAAACAGGCTGAAAATAGGGCTGGCAGGGAATGGAGGAAAGCAGACCTGCTTCTCTCCATCCTCACTCCTTGGATATTCCCCAGACTTAACCTACTTGGGTCTTCCTGTCTCATGCACCAAGTTTGCACTTGATCTGATCAGTCAATGGCTGGATGCCTCCCTAAATCATAGCTGGTCCCTCCTTGATTTGGGCTTGGGGTGAGGAATTCACTGGCCAAGCAAAGACATCCTGACCATGACTCACGGGCAGGGGCCAACACACTCTGGTGTCAATGGAGACATGCTGAGCATGTACCAGATTGCTCATAAACGGCCTTGGTAACAAACCAGCTCCACTCTGCTCAACTTTTGTTAAGTACTGCTAGTTAAGTACTGAACTGATTAGAGGTTACCTAAATGAAGGCTTGGGTGTTAGAGCAGTAGCAGGGTGATAATCATGGTAAGATATTTATTCTACTTCTGCACAGCAGAGTTTCCTAACTACAGTTAGGAAAAGAAATGTATTTGGACCCAAATTATCTCCAAGGTGATAGTCTCGTTGCAGGCTACAGCACAGTCCTGGTATGCCTTACAGTGCTGTGCTGCAATTGTGAGGCTTTTCTTCTGATGGCCTTAACGTGCTTTTTTTAAAAAATTGGTGGCCAGTGTTACAAAAGCAGGTTATACAAAAAACTCCCATGGGGTAGATTTAGATCACAGAATTCCATACAGCCCACGTGTGTTTCTCCTGTGTCCTCACACTAAAACTGGCAATGAGGCAGGTACAGCCACAGTATGCACATGCAGAGAGGATGAGGCTGGAAGAGAAACACTGCCATGAGGGACAGGAAATGACTGGGAGCTACTTACATTCCTGTTCATAGTTAGTCCTCCAAACCCAGCATCCAGCCCTATAGCAAGGAAAAAGTTTGAGCTACCTGAGGTTGAGCTTCACAATTTGCTAGGAAGAGGAGTAATACTCCTTACATTATGGATGAGCAAAGAAAGAGACCCAAGGTTTGATGGCTTCGTCAAGACTATGTGAACTGTGAGAGAAGTACTTCATGCAAATAGAAGCATAGAAAGTAAAAGAAAATCTGTTCTGGACCTCCTGGTCAATTCATAACTATTTACTAATCCCATTGGATTACTAATCCCATGGAGAGTTACTTTCACCTGCAAACACTTCAGGGACTCTGATACAACTACATCGGCAAAAGACCAATGCAAACAGTTAAAGTTGATTCAGCAGGAGCAATAATGATACTGGCAGGGGAAAAAATGCTCTCATGCCCTCCTTTTCCCAGAAAGGAGTCCAAAAATCAGTGTTTCCCAGAACACCGTCAAAACCTTCACTCCAGATGTTCCACAGGGTTTACAGGACTCGTGTCAAGGTTGGGTGGAGAAAGAGCAACAAGAAATGATCAATCACATGAGAAATTTGGACTAGAGAGTCCCAAATGTATTGCTGGGTGGCTTCTGTTTTATTCCTAAGGACTTATTAAACTTACTTATCTTTGAGGTGCAATGTGTGGGTCTATTAAAAGAGAAAATACGTTTTTGCATTAAAGTACACAGTAAACATGTTCCAACATGAATCTGTGTGAACAAATGGTTCAAGGGGGTGTGCTCTAACACTGAGCTCAGTGGGAGTCTAATGGTGGATAATATCCATCTGGCTTGAAGGTGAATAAGACTCCATGGGACTGTGACACCTCAGTGACTGGAGGAACATCTTGAAGTCAGAAGTCAGACTTGTAGGCAGCAATACATACGTTCAAAGGCACATCTCACACTTGTGGATAATAATTGATGAGGCTGGCAGACACTTCTGCTATCAACAGCTTCCAATACAAGAGCATCACTGCATCCTGCTCCCACACAATGTTTTGCCCTCCAAAAAAAAAAAAAAAAAGAAAAAAAGAAAAAAAGCACAGAAAGAATAAAAGATGCTGAAAAAAGGCCAGCCACATAAGCCAAAGAAACTCTGACGTACTTAGCTCAATTGCCTAATCCTGAAATACCCGAGTCCTACTTTCTCATCTGCAGTGATAAGGGCAGGCCTACTTTTAGAGTTGTATAATCACCATCAAGTGACGGTGCTTTCAGTGTCCCCTTAAAACTTTTCTCCCCATTTCCCTTTTTCCCTCTAATGAACTTTTTGAACTTTTCTCAGCAAGAAATAAATCAAAGAGATTTCTTCTCTCTGAAGCTACTTAACATCCACACCACCATATCTGAAAGTGGTAAAATGTAACTTGACTCCCATCAGGAACCAGGGAGGCTTGGAGAGGGCTGCATGCAACCCTTTAAATGTTAACCCTAAGTGGGCCTTTTAAGTCAACTGGTGGTTGTTAAGGGAGACTCTGCTACCCCCTTCAGTGTTTGTATAGCCAAGGGTTTGACTATGAAACCCATCAGCATCAGCAGAGTGGAAGGGACCCTGCAAGGTCAGCTGACCATCCCCCTCAGGAGGAGCATCTCCTAAAAATTACTGACAAGAAGGAGCATTTCTTCACTTGGAACAGGCTGTCTAGAGAAGTGGTGGAATCACCAGCCCTTGAAGTGATCAAAAACAGTGTGAATGTGGCAGCTGTGGACATGGTTTAGTCAAGAGCATGGCAGTGCTGGGTTAATGGTTGGACTTGATGCTCTTAGACATCTTTTCCAACCTTGATGAATCTATGACTCTATGACTTCTACATAGATATTGCCCTCATTCAAATCCAAGCTACATTCTACCCTGCCTCCTACAAAAAAGGGGTTTAGGCGTGTGCTGGTTGAGTAATCTCAGAAACAAAGGAATAACTGAACAGCACCTTCAGACAGTGTGAGATCTCCCCCCAGGCAGGGAAAAAAATAGAGGAAGAGCTATGGCTTTTCACACTGCCTTTTGCTCCTGAAGTGTTTGAATTTTTATCAGTTTTAGGGGTCACACTTTCATTTGCCTTCCTCTCCAAAGACAAGAGAAATGGTCAAGATTCCTAAATTTCTAAAAGAAAAACCTCTTTCTCTATGCAGTTTCTGAAAAGCTCTCTTCTCCAGTCCTATATTGCTTTATCTAACAACAGTATTTTTTAAAGAACTGTCATTCATTAAGCATAAGATATTAATTCCTGCCTTCAAGTCTCTTCAGAGCCATTTGTGACCCTCCATTTCCTCTCCTTAGCAGGATTCCCTGCTATTTTTCATTTAATTGCTGAAATCCCATGTTGTTATCTGTCATCAATAAAGTAATTTTGTTTATGAACTAACTCCAAATGAAGAGAAGATTTAAGGATGAAACAAAGCATGGGCTTAATATAGAGTCTTCTAGTGAGAAATGCTTGTCACAATCACTGATGTCATAAATCATAGTGAAATCTTAAGGGTAGTTGGAATATCACATAT